GCCAGGACGCGCTGTCCCGGCCCGCCTGGCTCCGAGCCTCCCCGGCGGCTCCAGGAGGATGCCGGGTTCCGGTCCTCACCCACGTCGCGGGCCGGCCGGGCGCCTCCTCCCTTCCCGGGCACTGCCTGTGTCCCGAGTTTGTCCACCAGCCCCCACCTTTGCTGCCATCGTCCCACCTCGGGCCACCATCCATCCCCCCTTTCGCCGACCACTACCATAACCTCCTAAGTGGGCTTTCCTTCCGTCGCCTGTCTGTCCTTACAGTCTGTCATCCACTCGGCAGCCAAAGCTCTTATCAAACGCTTACCAGACCAAGTCACCCCGGTATGATACCCTCCACTGGCTTCCCAGCGCGCTCGGCCTGAACTCTGACTTCTCAGCCGCCTGGAAGCGCAGAGTGACTTGCCTCTCTGCCTTCGTCTCCATCTTCATTGCCCACACCCTCCTCCTCACCCACATCCCCCCAGTGCACCGGCCTTCTGGACCTGCACAGAACACACCAAGCTTATTCCCGCCTCAGGGCCTTTGCACCTGCGGTGCCAGATCCCTGGAAGTCTCTTCTCTCAGATCTTTAGTGACTGGGCTCCTTCTCACTCAGATCCCAGTTCAAATGTCTCTCCAGAAAGGCCTTTCCTGATCCATAGTTCCCCTACCTCCCCCTCTTATCTCCTCCCTAACCCCCCCTTCTAACAAGGCCTTCCTCCAAATTATCATGCTCTTTTATGTTTTCCTGAGGACCCATCATCACAATATAAAATTATATTGCTTATGTATTTGCTTGTCAGCATTCTACATACTATTCCTGCATAGCAAACCACCTTGAATTTAGTGGTTTAAGCAACCACCAATTTATAATGCTTATGATTTCTGTAGGTCAGGAATTTGCACAGAACACAGTGGAATGGTTTGTCTCTATGCCACCATGTGTGTGGGGCCACAGCTGGGAGGTCTCAAAGGCTGGAGGGATTGGACAGCTAGAGGCTGGAAACATCTGAAGATTCACTCACTCACGTGTCTGGCATTTGATGCCGGCTGTTGGCTGGGACCTCAGCTGGGATGTCAGCCAGAACACACATGCGTGGCCTCTCCATGTGACCTGGGGCACCTCAAAGCATGGCAGTGTCAGGGTAGTAGGACTTCCTACATTTCATCTCAAGGCTCCAAAGGCATGTGTCCCAGCTAACAAGGCAGAAGCTGCATTGCCTTTTAAGACCTAGCCTCAGAAGTCACACAGAATCACTTCTGCTGCATTCTGTTGGTACAAGTGAGTCACCAGTCTGCCTAGACTGAATGGAAAGGGTATTAGACACCACTTTTGGATGAGCAAGAGGCAAAGTTCTAGAAGACATGTGGCCGTCTTTGGAAAGTGCCACCTCCACAGCCAAGTCTTCCCCACTGGAATATCACCTCCATGAAAACCACCTCTCACTTGTTTATTGTTGTATCCCCAGTGCCCAGAATGGTGCAAAAGTACACCGTAGGTGCTCAATCCATGTTTTAGAGTGAATAAATAAAGGTTGGTCTTTCAACGAGTCATCTGAGCCCAGTTCTTCTCCCTATAAGTGTATTTCCTACTCCCGCCCTTGAATTTGGCCTGGTCTGCTCCGGAGGAAGGCCATGGGGAGCAGGGAAGTGGCCCAATGGGAATGGAGCTTTGGAGAGGTGCCTTGGGCAGCAGGGGGAGGGGGGCTGTGGTGCCTATTAGGAGCCATTCATTGCAGAGCCCACAGGTCTGTTGAGGTGCACAGATTCTCCTGGCTGTCCTACCCGTGAAGGACCTTCCAGTGGGTCTTCCCAAAGTCCTG